CAAATTGCTCTGGTTGCCACTCTGCTTCCAGATGAATCAAGCTGGTTATCACCTATAAAGCTCTGCATGGCATAAGATTTGTTTCCCTCTTGGTTATCTTTGTCAAGGAAAGAGAAATGGGAAATGTACTCTTGTTGATTCTCCTGGATGTCTCAGCAGCTTTTGATGTTATCAACTAAAAACTATTCTTTTGAAGAAGTAATCCAACTGAAATGTTAGTAGAAATGCTTAAAGAGGTCCCAGCCATACTTACATGGCCATCTCTAGAATTTCTGTTTGACCCCATGATATTTATGTAAGAAAACAATTTTAGTAACCAATGTGTTTTCTTTTTAATGCAAATATATTTATTGAGTTTTTAACGATTTACAATTATGTTCCTGGGGAAAAGCCTACAAAATAATAATATATAAGAATATATTAGCAATATATAATAAACCATATACTTTACAAAAATATCTTTAAAACAACTATTGAAATAATGTAATAAAATCAAGAACACAATGCTGTCAAAAAAGGCATTACATGATTAATTTCTAGAAACGACTGTAGGGAAAGTGGATAAAGGTAAAACCTTTTATCATTTTGGCAATGGTTTACAACTGGGACTTTAAAAAAATAAATCAAAGGCTTGATTTTGGCTGCTTAAGAGCCAAATGCAATCAAGGCCAGAGTTGAAGAATTCATCATTAATGATTCAAAGTGCAGATTGTGCAAAAAGGCAGATGAAAATAGTAGATTATATACTCACCTTGTGCAAAAAGATCCCACAAATTGATTATAAACAGCAACATAAGCAGTTGTCAAAATGATTCACTGAAACATTTGTAAAAATTATCAGTGTAATAATGAAAGATTATAGAATTGTAAAAGTAATTGAAAATTAATAGATTAAAATATTGTGGGATTTCCAAATACAGACTGATAAATCTTTGTCTCATAATCCACCAGATTTATCTGGGGTTGAAAAGAAGAAAATGTAGATAATAGATGTGATAATACCAGTACATAGTAGAATAGAAGACAAAGAATTACAGAAGATCACAAAGTATCAAGATCGTGCATCCAAACTGAAAGATTATGGCTTAAACTGGCCATGGTGGTGACTATGGTTATCATCACCACTGAGAAATTGTCAAGGAAGCTAAAATATTTTTTCCAATTTTATAATTCCAGGAAAGTTGTTGCCCATTATCCAATTTGTAAGTGAAAAATTTAATAATATATTAACTGAAATTATTTATTTGGAGTGGAGGACAGAAGGACAATAAAATTCATCTCTAGATGTGCTCAAGTTTAAAATGTAATGCTTAAATTTGCCTTTTGCTTAGGCAGAATGTTTCCTCTTGATAATTGATAATTGAGATCATGTTCCAGGACATTTCCTTCTTCTTCAGCCATTTGAGTCCAACTTCTAAGTTAAATGTAATATATAATTTATTAATATAAGGTAAATTGAAATCTATACTACATTTATCCTAATTGACCATTGAAAACAAAACTTTAATACTGATTTCTAATGAAGGTTAAAAACTATGCAGTGTTTTATGGAAACAGTTTCTCAGGTAACTAAAGGAATATAAACCAGACTTTAAAAAGGAAGTCATCTATCAAGAGCATATTGTAGCACAATTTATCTGCTAGATTTGAGAAGCAGATATTTATAGGCCTTTCTCTTTCCATCCATCCTAAGAATGAGAACACATCATTCACTGAATGTGTTGTTTATAGTTTCATAAAGCTGTTCCATGACAGGGCTTATTTTATCTAGTGCTTAATACCCATAAAATCATCACATAGCAAATGAATGGAATAGTTATAGTCTAAATGGGACTGATTCCTATGGAATATTTTATAGATAAAGCCATTTTATTTGGAACAGTAGGTCAAAGGGTACAAATCTGTAGCATAAATTCTTATTTTGGGCTGTCATGAAAAGGTAATCGCTCTGATTGAATTTTTATATAGTAACTGAAATTCTCTCTCAAGATTCAGTACATAACAATGGATACACATATAGAATCCTCATAGGGGCCCAAAGAAATTCTAGAAGTAAATAATTAGAAATCTAGAAATAATAATTCATTAGAATCAGTTCTGTGAAGAGAGGGAATTTTAAAGTAAACCTCTCATAAGTGCTAAAGTGTTCCTATATGATATCAACACTTTTTTTTTTTTTTGCAATAGTGTAATATTTACAATTGATAATTGTATAAATTACAATCTATAATATATACATTGACTATAATTGTATAAATTACAATTAATTTATAATAAAAATATTTTTGTTGTAAACACTGGAATGAGTTATTTCACTTCTGACATGTTACTTCAAAAGAATAAAATACATATTTCAGAATACGTTACTGTGGAATATTTTCATGAAAAAGATAGACAAGCAAGCTTAATACATTCTGTTTGCCTCTCTTTTTTGCAAGGGAAAGCATTGCTTACTCTGTTATTGAACCTTGATTATTATTTCCACTAGTTAGCAGGCTAGTTTTTCCATTAATTATTAATTATTATAATTTTAGACTTCTGCCTATTATTAGATACTTACACTGAAAAAGATGAATCTTACTCAGTTTTGTCCATACTAATATTCAGTAGCTCTTGCAGCAAGAATCTTTTCTGGTATCATTAGCAGTGTCAGGGATTCAGTTTACTATCTTTAGGATTCAAAACATGAACACTCCATCAATAAGAAGAGATGACCATCCCCATTCCAATCCCAATTCAGTTTCAAGAAAGTCTTGAGAGGGCCAAGAGGCAGGGAGAACAATTACTTCTGTTTCAATTTCCAATGCAAATTTGAGATTATTAATGAAATCCAACAGAAGTGTGGATTTCTACTTTTTTTTTCATTGGCCAGTGAGGGAATATATTCAGAAAAAAGATATTTGTTTTGTTTTAATAGTTTTCAGTGGGAAGAAACAGTGGAAATAATTGCAGGTACAATTTTCTCCATTGAGATGTTTAAATATATAATATTGTCCAACGAAAGAGATGATGATGCTTACAGTGGACTAAAACAAGAGACAGAATTATCTTTATTTCTAGTTCTCCAGAGGTTGATGAACCACATGTGTCAGCCTCTTCATGACCAAAGGAGAAGAATGCTGGTTCTGAAATTCAGCAAGAATTTCAGAACTTTTGTCTTCCCCAGTCATGGCACAATGTAATTTAATTGAGTGAAATAAGATCATAACCAGATTCCCAATGTACAATTCAGGAAGAGAATGAAAGCAGTAAGCTTTTTCTCATCCTAGCTGAAAAAGTACTGGTATGAGGGACACAGCAGTGCAAGCGAGAGAAGGCGGGTTTGCTTGCATATTGAATCCGAAGTCTGAGAGTGCCATTAGGAGTTTCTGTAAATTGTTGGGTAAAGAACATCTCCAGGCAGGCACAATGAGCCTGGCTCTCTACTGTGTATCCAACAGGAATTCTGATTACATAAGCCCTACAACACTGTGTGATCTGTACCTTTTATATACTACTTACAGAACTGGAATAGCAAAGAGTGGCGAATGGCAGCAGGCATTTGTTGAGATCATGTTGCCAAGGGCTGGATACTTTAATACTCTTGAGCATGAACAATATGCCTGAGTCCAGAGGCTTCCTCCAAACCCTCCTATTGGTCTCCACTACTAATTGGAGCAATTACATGAAGGGCTTACTACCGGAAAGGGAAGCCATTATATTTCTTAACACACCGCAATACATGCTGCTCTTTAATTAGAACAGTCACAGGCACTCACATGCTCAGAATTACTAGCTGAAAAGTTCATGGAACATGGGCTCTGAATTGCTGACACCAGAGACACTCTTGATGTGGCCTCAGTTTTTCAGAGACTATAGTGCATCTGCCATGCATTACCATACCAGGAACTACATCCCAGTGTCATAAGGAAGACAAATACTTTTGCTTTTTTGTGGAATTTGAAATAAAATAGCTTTTATTTGATTTTTACTTTCCACACCATACCTACAGTTGGATTACACAGTCCATATTATTTTTAGAAATATTGTATATTTTTCTCTGTGTAAATGCAAAATATAGATGACAACATGATCACCAATCTCTGATGACGAATATGGCACAAGAAGAAGTAAATGCAATCATATCATGTATGATTATATACATAGCTATCTCATGAAGTGTATTTTTATTTTTTAAATATTGCACCCAGAAATTGATGATGATGATGATTTAGTTATGCATCTATGCCATTTTATTTATTCACTTATTTGTCCAGTTAACTAAACTATATGAAATTAGGTAACCTTTTTTACGGTACTATATGAAATTCTCTAGAACTTGCTGATAGTCTCTACTGTGGGATAAGAATGTGTTGTACTAACTTGTCATTATGTTTTTCAAAACAAGGGCCAAAATTCAATACAAAACTCCCTGCTACTTATATAGTAACCACTTTGTCTTTGGTATTTCTTGATATGGAGAGTTGTCTAGATAATACTGAGCAAAATGAATCAGTGATGGAGTTGATGGCAATTTTCTATGTTCTTACATATGGGAAATATGTATTCTAGAAGTACCTTAGAACTATTGTAACATAATATGGAAAGTAATAAATCACATTACATAATTTAATAGAATCTTGGGCTAAAAATAGAATATACAAAAAGTCTCAAAGGTGTTTTTCCAAAAGGCAACTGGACTTTCTTGTTTTGTTTTATTTTCTTGAAAACATTTTGCTTTCAAGGAACATTGAAAACAAAACGTTTTCAAGAAAAAAAAACTCAAGAAAGTCCAGTTGCATTTTGGAAAAGCACCTTTGGGACCACCATGACCTGAATAGATTATTGAGAATCTCCATAAATATACAAAAAGAAGAAGAAAGCCAACACTCTAAATAATAAGAAAAATATGTGTCATAGAAATTTTTAAGCCATGCTCAAAGACCACTGTTCTTTTGAATATGATTCCCTTCATTTGACCTTTGTTTCCATTTTTTTTCTTTTGTTCTTATTGACATTAGACAACAGATGACCTCGTTTCTTCAGCAGAATGTTCTAATGATGATGAAGATTTCATTGAATGCGAGCAGAGTGTAGGTAAGCCAGGTCAGTCTTCTTTTTGGCTTGCTTTTTGCAATTGATAATGCCAATACATATATGTGGTTCTGAATGTATACATATATGTGTATGCTCATATATGTATATGTAATATGTGTATATATGGGTAGAAATGTTAAAAAGCCAAGCATCCAATCCCATGGAACTGGCAGGAGCAAAACATGAATGGGCCATCATGTTGGAAAGCCAACTCTGGGGAAAAAAGAAAAAAGAAAACCAACTGTTTGAACCAGTCCTGTTCAGTTTATTGTAAACCATTGTGCTATATATTTGTAATGGTTTTTGAACTGGCTCTGGTGAAGAGGAAGGAAGCAGATTGAAGAATTTTTCCTGAAATAATAATGAGCATCCAACTATTAATTAATGAAAGAAGTAGGTAGGCAAAAAAGAGGTAGTACCATGGCTGTTTTTATATCTTTCTGACAGATATGAAAACGTGCATCAAAAGTTCTTTTTCTCCATGGGATTTTAAAAGCGGTTAACATGGCAATGTAGTTTTGCTATTACTTTTGTTTAACCAGTCTGAGGAGATTTAAACCACAATGAATCTGCAACAATTATTATGCTCTGCCATGCTATCTGCAGCAATGATGCTTCAAAATGTATCCACTAAAATGCTAAAACTGATTAGAAAATTTTGAAATGGGCTCAATTTCTCCCTTTGAGCATAGATACATTTTGATAATTTTATGGCTTTGGGGTAGTGGGGAATAGATATGACAGCAGGCAATTGCAATCTACTTTATTTTTTAAAAAAATAATTTTGTTTCAAGCTTTTCTTTAAGTTTCATTTATTTTTGAGGCTTGTTCTGAATTAAAATAGTTATCTAATAGAGAACAGAATTTCATCCAATTTTTGTGTGTGTTGTAAAAAGTTTTCTGCAAATCTGTCCTTAACCATAAAACAGAAAAAAAGTCTTCTTTCTTTTCTTTTCTTTTCTATTGCTTTTGTTAGAAACAAAAAAAAAAAAGACGCTGTGGGGTGGATAGGTTATTATATTATTTTGAAAAGCTTTATGTTTGCTAAAAATCAAACTTCAGATGGTTATGTTCATTGTTTCCTGAAGCATTTCAGATCAATACAGTAATAGTAATAGAAATCATCCAAAGCTAGCGCTTTCACATTTCTCTTCCACTACTCATATTCTGCTTGCATTTTGGGGTAAGACTTGCTCTGACAGTAGTAAAAACCATTGTGGCTTTGCATGTAGCTAGGAAGTTCCACAAAAAGGCTAGAGAACCAGTTTGGTTTAATGGTTGAGACACATGGCTAGAAACCAGGAGACTGTGTGTTCTAGTCCTACCTTAGGCATGAAAATCAACTCGGTCACTTTAAGCCAGTTACTTTCTCTCAGGACAAATCACCTCACAAAGTTGTTATTGAGGAGTATTAGCGATAGAAATACCACTGAGACTTATATAATGCTCCATAGTGCTTTACAGCATTCTCTGAGCAGTTTACAATGTCAACATTGCCTTCAACAATCTGGGTCAAATTTTATTCACTTCAGAACAATGGAACCTTGAGCTGGTCAGGATCGAACTCCTGGCAGTGAGCAGAGTTAGCCTGCAATACTGCATTCTAACCACTTTACAACCACAGCTCTTTTGGTATGTTTGCTGCCTTGAATTATTTATAAACATAATAAATATGGAAAATAAATAAATACATAAATTTTAAGCAACACAGATTTAACATTTAACATTGGCATTCATGTTGACACCCAATTCAGTTCAAACTGATTATATTATTTGAAATATGTTCATGTGGATTTTATGGAATTCTCAGTGCACTGATGTTATTACCCAGTCAGGTAATGAAGCATCTGCAAGCTCAGAAAGTACCAAGGACTCCACAATTTAACATTGAGCTACATATATTCTCTTCTATTGGGTTTTGGCCAATAGAAGAGAATATATGAAATAATTCTCAATACTCAATACAATAAATATCAATACTCTTGCATTAACAGCTGCTTTGTTGTGCTGCATAACTGGGAATTCAAGATGCTCCTCTCCTAAAATTCTTCTTTGTTTCTCGGCCATGTTCTGCTGAAATAAAGAATGGCATTTATGAAAAGTAAAGTCATAGGTCTTAAACAAAATGGTGATTTACAAACCTCATGTGGCAGGGATTTGTGAGTTTTGTGAGCTCCTTCAGTAGGGCTGTGCTAGAGAATTTCTCCTATAGACAGAGGTCTTTGACCTTCTTTCTTGTGACTGATCCTGTTTTTCAGCTTTTCTTGGCACTCCTATTGTAACTTCATCCATCACATTTGCACAGATACGCTGTCTGCAAGAAAAAAATAATCATAAGGATGGCTATTCAAAAATGGATCGGAATCCATTATACCAGATCCAAACTTGGTCTTTTGTTTACTTTTCAACAAGATACAGTTAGATTGTGAGTTTTGTGTAGAAAGAGCTAAAATATATATTTGAACCCCATTGCTATTTTTTATAAAGGTCCTAAAGACTGCAATGCATCACCATGGAAGAAGTAATGATGCTGCCTTCACAACATATCTTCAGATAATGGATAAGAGGAACTGACTGATATAGGGGAAAAAAGGCTTCTAATAGAAAGAACCCCACTGTTAATAGCTAATAGTTAAAGGAACCCAATATAGAAGCCTGATGATGGCAGATGAGATTCTGCCAAAACGTTGCTACAACTTTAAAAGCACAACTACAATGACGTGGGAAAATACCCGAACAAAGCTGAATAACACACACACACACACACACACACACACACACACACACACGCATGTATATATATGTATATATATATGTATGTACATATATGTATGTATTTAAAAGTATTCTTTTGCCAAGTTCTTGGCAAGGTGTAGTGATTAGGATAGTATAGAATTATAAATTGATGACTTAATTCAAAGGACATTTGATTAATTTACTCATTCTAATTAAATCTGATAACAGAATGTTCAAAGCATGGAATGAGCTCCCTGCAAATTACTTTTTTAATTTATTAATTTAACTTAATTTTTAATTCAGATATTCAACATGTCATTTCCAAAAATCTATGCCAGTATATTGGTTAGCACATTTTCTGCATGTTTTCTGGACAATTTGGAAGCTTCTAGGTTTCATCTAGCACAGAATAAATCAAAATCAAAAATGTATTAAGATTAAACCACTGAAGCTATCTGGCTGAAATTTTACTGGAAAAAAAGTATTGTAAAAGATCCCTCATCTTAAGCTATTTTCATCCAGTTCTGTCAAAAACAGAATCAGCTGAAAATATTCAGTAGTTTACTGCATTATAACTGTGATGACCCAGGGCATGGCACAAAAGCAACACAATGACATAAGTAAGAAAAGTCCTTTTAATACCTCCAACTTTGCTCCCAATGTCTAGTTACCTTCGGCTAAAAAAACTCCCCCAAGAACAGTCTTTAAGTAGAGGAAATTCGGTCCAAAAACAAAGTACATATAAACTGTAAATAAAAATCCACACAAACCATGTTGCAGCAATTAACTGGACAGGGTAGAATAAGAAATTGCAGACTTCAAATGCCAACCAACTCACACAGTTCGGAAGATGCCAGGAACACAGATAAACCTCAACAATAAAAGATAACTCATGATTTTCTTCCAACGAGTTGCTGTGTGCAACCTCCCTTTTAAAACAGTGTTCCCAGCTGCAGCTAATGAAGGGAATCAGGGCCCTTTCCTCCTCTGTAAACCACTCAACTCATGTTGCTCCCTTCTCCATTCCTCCCTGCATGCCCTAGGATGACGAGGGGGTAGGTCTGGATCTTCCTCTGAATTCCCTCTGCCTTCCTCTACCTCTCCTCTGCTCTGCCTAGCCACACTTTGCCCTTTCCCAGTTTCTTCCACAGCCAATAGAGCCACACCCTCACTCCCTGTCAGCTGCTTGGTCTCCCCCTCGGAATCAGATTCCAAGAGGGGCATGACAATAACTAATGATTTCATTTTTTTCAAAACTGATTTGAATTGAATTTTGTTGCATTCCAAATTCAGTTTCAAATTGAATTACATTACTTACACAAATTTTTAATACAAATCAGATCTTGGATTAATTATGTATCCTTATTAATAACTTAGAGACCACTCAGTGTAGAATTGAATAAATTGATCTTCATACATCTGTTTATACTTTATCAAGTTAACTAGGGTTCTTTCTCTTTCCTACTTTCCCACTGGGAGAAAATTGTTTATGTATTATTAATTAAAATATACATCTAGGTTATGTACTTTCTTCATCCAAGAAACTTAAGGTGAAGATGGGTACCATATAATTGAATGAATAGATAGATAGATAGATAGATAGATAGATAGATAGATAGATAGATAGATAGATACAATATATTGAAGAAACCCAAAAGGTTTTTTTCCTTGATAAGGATTTGCATGTACTAATATTCTGTAACAATAAAAAGAACCAAAAGATAGGTAAAAAATATGGCAACTTAGTATCTGTGAAGCTTTTTCTTCATTACTTCTTTGGTTATAAAGGTTAACACTTGCTGAAGCACTTGCACTGAATGGTGATTATTTTGATAAGTGTGCTAGTGTGTGTTTCTCAATTATTCTTGGTTATACGAGCAGCTGTACCACTAGACTAGCAGATGATGGAGATAGCTAGGGAAGCTCATGCCCTGCTATTCTCTCAGTCCCTAGCCATTCTTATTTCCTGTTCCCCCCTAAACTAGTTGCCTTCATTAGTATCAGAGCACTCAGTGGCATTTTCAAGGTTGAAATGTGATTCAATACCAGTCCAGTCACCTTATGTACATAGAATGGAATACAAACTGCAAGAAAACTTGGCTTAGCTTCTTGGCACCTTTTCCTAACCAAATAAATTCATACATCCCACCAGTCACTTGATTAGCATCATCTAGTTACCTGGCTTGTCAGAGGAACAAGCCAAATAACTCATAAAATGATAAAGCATGGCAATTTAGTGGGGAGTAATCAAGTGAGCCAATGAGCAGCATACG